TTCCACGAAAGTTGGATTAAAGTACATAGTGACCCTTGGCCAAGCGACCAACTCTCGTGTGCCTGTCTTTCGTTGGGAGAACATGCAAATTGCCTCGTACGCATCGGCGACATACGGTTCCATCGGTGTATTTCTGTCGGATGCAGCTGCTTTTGGAATCTCAAAGCTCGAATCGCAGAGCATGAGCCCTCAGATGGGCGTTGTTCTCGAAAGAACTACCTCGACACTTATCGCCTAGAGCTCCCGCGCCTCGCTCTCGAATACTCCCATCGGTTTCTTCCTCGGCGCCGGGGGCTCTTTCTCGAGCGAGGGCACCGGCACCGGTAAAAAAGAATCGCTCTCGGTGTACTCGGGAACCTCTGGAGCTCTCTCCGTGGCGTCTGGTCGGGTGTCCTTCACGCTCGGTCTCACGGGTCCGTGCCTGACCTTGGACACAGCGTGCTCATCGTCGCTCGTTGCCGTGCATTTGGGAGCGTCAGCTCTCAAGCTCGCCGAGTGTCCCGAAGCAGCGGCGACGGGCGTTGGGATGCTGACGGCGACGGTGTCGATGGCTTTCTCGGCGGCGGGCATGCTCTCCGCTTTTGGACGCTGCCACACATTCGATCGTCGCGGAGACGGGTACTGCCGTGGGGAGGGCTGCGGCGCTTTTCGGTTGTCCTCTGGATGTTTGGAAATGTCAGTTTTGGGCACAGCTGTGCAGCAAGACGGTCCGAGCGCGAGCCTGACGGCACCAAATGGGTCATCGCAAAGACGACTTATCGAAACGGTGCAAGATGATGATGCTGCGTGACTGGCGTTGGAGGCGCACGGCACGGGCACGGCCCTGGGAGACCCGATCGAAGTTCGTTTGTCATGGGATCAAAAGCATCCCAAAATCGCCTCTCTTAGGTTGGGGCAGCATCCGGGGCCTTGTGTGGGAATTCGCAGCTGATACAAGGCTCATCTCTGAAGTCGAGCATGGGTCACTTGGAGCCGTCTGGGGCTGCCGCTGGGTTGATCTCCCTCGTGCTCGTTCCTCTCAGTATGTGCGTCGTCGCCATGCATGTGCAGCTCAGGCTGTCTGTCAAACTTCCACGCGAGACTTGTTTGATCCCATATGCACTAGGCTAAACACGCACTTGTCCTCTGTATCTTCATCATTCGAGATGCCTGCTGAGCTCACAGCTGAAATGGCGCTTCAACGACAATCCTCCGGTCGTCTGAGCTCGTTTGGGTTTAGCGGGACCATCTCACACGGGGTATTCCTGTCTCCAGCCTGTTTGGGTAACATGCCGCATGGTGACGCGGCTTCCCACTGCCGCACTTGGGGAGGGCTGGCATCAGGAGAGCGACAAACGAGGAGATGGGCGCTCCAATAGGCCACCGGGATCTAGGGCACATCTATCATGGAGGCATCTGTGTCGCCCTCGGTGAAAATGACTTTGGTCGATCACAGCGTCGGTGGCAATATCCTCTTCCCGAGCGTTGGCTATGTCGAGCTGGCCTCAACATCTATCGAATGGGGAAGTGCACTTACCAAGTTGCAATTCCTGCGACCATGCATCATACCGCCGCCTGGGTCAGGGCAATTTGCCGTACGATATGCGAGAAAGACTTCCGGGATGTTTCTAATAGAAAGCGTGACAATCAAGCAAGTTGTGAGTCACGCGGTTGGAGATTGCCAGTCAGGAGCGTCTGTCGGGAGCCAAGCCACGACGGATTGCGCATCGCGCGTCCTGAAATTTTTGAGGACCAGGTATAATCTCACCGCGGGCTCGGGCTCGGGTGGAGTGCCAACGCGCCGCTGTGTCTCGTTAGGAAGCTCCAAGGTCTCTCCTCTTGCAATTTTTCATGATCGAACAAGCGGGGATGAGTAGGGGCGGCGAGAAATATGGAATGCAACAACGCGGTCATCTTTGAGCGAGATCCTTGCGCTATAGGCGAGGTGGTAGATGTCACGGGTACACGGAAGTCTCGAGATAGGAAACGTGAGAGGATCCCCTCCGTACATGCAGGCTTCAAATCATTGAGCGTTGTGAATTCGCGCATCCTGAAAGCCGCAGGGTCGAGAGCTTGTTCGAGCCTTAGTGACACGTCTGGCAAGCAGCCGTGACGTCGCTGTTGGTGGATCTGTCACGTGATGCAGATTTGGCTCTGATTGGGTGGCGTTGATGAGGAAAAAGGGGGGACACGCCTCATCCCGAATATGCGTATCTTTCACCGAACAGCATTGTGTGGTTGCTGACCAAGTGGCTTCTATTTCACCTGAGATGATTGCTCTCACGCGAGAGTGCTTTGGGACTGGTAGGATTGCCGAGCGTGACGCGCAGCGACCAGGAGTCTGAAACCTAGCTAGGAAGAAATCAGGAAGAGGATGCCGGTCCTGGATACTCGCACGTGACTTCGCAACTGTCGACCCTGCTGACAGGGGTGTGCGTCATCTCGTCTCTCGCGAACATGGCTCGCATTCCGAAATAGGTCACGGGGGACTGTTGCGTATCGAAAACTTCGCCTCTCGTCCTATCTTGTACACCTGCCCGATTGCATTGGCGCGTGCATCTCTGACTTGACTAGATAACCGAGCACTATCCAAGGCGCCATCAGTTTGTCCCCCACCACGACAACCGAGGCCCGTTCAAGCGCGTTCTTCCGTCCGATGCCAAAGCCTCCTCGACGATCTCGTTGGCAGCGTGACCCAGCTCACCGGCACCGCCACTTCACTCGACGTACCGCTCAT